TAGGGAGTTCGAACTCTAGGTAGGGAGCTCGATCACTAAGTAGGGAGTTCGGGCCTCTTGCTAGGGAGTTCGAACTCTAGGTAGGGAGCTCGGGCCTCTTGCTAGGGAGTTCAAGCTCTAAGTAGGGAGCTCGGGCCTGCTGGTCCCTTCCCTTTGGCGTTTGTACCCTCGGTATGCTGTCTTGAGTGCCGAGCTGCTTGCCTTTTTTGCCACGTGCCGTGATTTGCGAGGTCGGGCCAAATCTTCCTTCATCAGTTTCCATATGAAGAGTTGCCAAGATGGTAAGCCTAAAAAAATAAAGAAATATTATATAAAAAATGTCAAAATTAAAAGAATTAACCTTAAAATTCTAAATATAAAATAAAAAATTTTGAACATTTAACAATTTAAAAAGTAAACAATAAAAAGTAGAGACAATAAAAAAAATTAAAGAGTGAAAACTTCTAACAATGCATAAATAATTCTAATTAGACTTGACAATCGGGTCAGCGGGTTGATCAATGACCCAACCCAACCCAGTTTTTTTCGGGTTGGGTCGAATCGGGTCACTTTCACATTCGGGTAGCTGAATATGAAACCCTGATCCTGTTTTTTCGAGTTGGGTCGGGTCGGGTCAACTTTTTGCCGGGTCTAGTTGCTATTGTCACCCCCTTCGGAGTTGTTGTATAGGTCATCAATACACTAACAACATGCCCTCACTGATAACATGTGTCTAAGGAGCCAAGATCTACTCTTCACAAATGGGCGCTTCATAGGCACATTGACTGTGCATTGGGAACATCTCCCATGAATAATAACTAATAAGTACGGGAGATGTTCCCCAAATGCATGGTAGGATGTGCATATGAGGCGCCAGTTATGAGGAGCAGATCTGGTCTCTTAAGAGGAGTGGCAATGTCAATGAGTGATGAGATCGGATTTGCTCCTCACTGCGTGTCTCACACCAATGTTATAGTACATCACATCTATGCATTAAGAACATCTTCCATGTTTAATGTTATCATTCATTAATGGGGATATGTTTTCAATACACCACTGCAATTAAACCGGATTCAATAAGTGCAAAACCCATTCGAACAACCATTATAGTTTTGCATTGAAAATATCTCCCCATGAAATAAAGCACAGAAGTATAGAGATATTCCCCATGCAAGGATGTTTGAACGGTATTCAAACAGGTTTTATACTGTCTGAAGCCAATGATGTGCTGTGAGGTTGGTCTGAGGTGTATTTTATAAAGATTAAATCCCTATGATAGTAATAGCAATGAAATTGGATTTATTCCTCACCCAATGCACACCTGTGATATGTTGTATGGTTGGTGTGAGGTGAGATTGGATCTGCTCCTCAAAGAGCGCATCCTCAAACTGACCTCACAGCACGTTCACGTGGAACATCTCCCTAATTGTAAATTTTAATTGATGGGGAGATTCTCCAGATGCACCGCTAAAACGTGCTGTGAGGTGCGCTTTGTGAGGTGAAGATCCGAATTCATGTGGCGTGGTCTGGAAGGACTAAATCTCATGATAGCACTAGCAATGAGATCGGATTTGCTCCTCACAGAGCATCACAGGCATGCATTGAGGAGATCTCTCTTACATGGTGTTATCATTTACGGGAAGATGTTCCCAATTCACCCCTGCGATATGCCGTAAGGTTGGTGTATGGCGTGCTTTGTGGGGAGAAGATCCGAACTCAATGGCAATGCCATTCCTTCCTCGTTCTACTTCACATTGGTTACAATTTCTCATTAGTTCTCAAATTTTTTTCTTCATTTAATCGAAAATGGTAGAGCCAAGATAGATTTTGTTTTGTTTTCATTTTATTTTCGGCAGATAAGAAAAGTTGGAGGAGGATTGCATTAGGTATTAGCGCCGCCGGAGTCATAGCCGGGTCCGTCCTTGTAATATGCATCGTCCTTCGCCGGAAAAGCAAAGATATAGATGTTAACAACAGGAAAAATAACGGAGATACAGAGGTAGTCTATTTCAAGAATTATGGATACCTTCATTACCTTGCCCCAAAGAGATACAGATATTCACAGGTCAAGAAAATAACCAACTCCTTCAAAGATAAATTAGGACAAGGAGGCTATGGTTATGTTTACAGAGGGAAGCTATTTGATGGTCAGCTTGTTGCAGTGAAGGTTTTGAGTGAATCCAAAGGCAATGGAGAAGAATTTATTAATGAAGTTGCAAGCATTAGTAGAACCTCTCATGTCAACGTTGTCACTCTCCTGGGTTTCTGCTTTGAGGGGAAAAAACGAGCTCTTATCTACGAGTTCATGCCCAATGGATCTCTTGAAAAGTTTATATATGAAGGGAAGTTTTCACAGGCAAATCGTCATCTTGGGTGGGAAAGACTTCATCAAATTGCAATAGGCATTGCTCGAGGGCTGGAGTACCTACACCGTGGTTGCAACACTCGCATTCTACATTTTGACATAAAGCCACATAACATTCTCCTGGACCAAGACTTCTGCCCGAAGATATCGGATTTCGGCCTTGCTAAACTATGTCCTGATAAGAAAGAAAGTGTCATATCGATGCAGGGTGCTAGAGGGACTGCTGGTTATATTGCACCAGAAGTATTCTCTAGAAACTTTGGAGGAGTCTCGCACAAATCAGATGTCTATAGCTATGGAATGATGGTTCTAGAAATGGTTGGTGGACGGAAGAACATTGACGTGGGTGTTGACAATACTAGCGAAATATATTTCCCCCACTGGATATATAAGCGTCTCGGAATGGATGAGGATCTTGGGTTATGTGGAGATATCACTACTGAAGAAGAAGAAATTGTAAGGAAGATGAGTATAGTAGGTTTGTGGTGTATCCAGATTGATCCTTCAAGTCGGCCTTCAATGAGTAAGGTTGTGGAGATGTTAGAAGGAAGTCTTAATTCCTTGCAGATTCCACCCAAGCCTTTTCTGTCTTCTCCTTCAAGATCAAGATCAAGACCAACCTCACCCGGTGGTTCCCCTGTAATAGAAGAAAGTTGTTCCATGAGGTAAATATTTACTTCTTTTTGGCACCCGGTGGTTTGGCCAGGAATTAATTCCATCCTAAACCAACTTACCTGAATGCAATAATTAATTTGGGGTTCGACCAACTGGGCAAATACAAACCACCTAAAATCAAACGAGTTCCAATGTATTTGTTGGTTTGGTCAATAGTTGTCTTTCTAGGAGGAATTTCCTTGGTTGAATAATCTATCAACCTCTATTTCCAGACTTTAAAGTGAGAACCAACATTAATTCTGAGACATTTGCCTGAGAAAGTTCAAAAGAACAAAAGATCAGATTTGATCCTATTTATTTAAGTTGGATTGGAATATAAAATAGGATTGAGTGGATCTAAAAGTGTGATCTGTTTATTGATTGGATTGTATTTGTGTATTGCTTGAATATAGACCCTTGTTAGGATTTTAATTTAATATCCTCTAGGATTAAGTGGAATTTGGGAATTAGATAAGCCTGCTTTTGTCTGTTCACAGTATAGATTCTTATTTCATTTTTAATTTGATAGATTTATGCTAGTTTTTTTAACAAAATACTAGTATTTGATAGATTTAAGGTTTAATGAATTTTGAACTGAGCCAGTTTTTGTTTTCAACGAAATACTAGTATTTCATTACTATTTGTCTATTTCAAGGAGAATACAAAAGATGTTCTTCGGTACATATTATATTTTAATTTACACATTAAAACATGCTTTCCATACTAGCCTATGAGCCATACTATTCAAGGCAAGGTTCAAAATATCGATATACCTGATATGCCGGTATGGGCATATTGGATGAATCGATACAGCTTTTTAGTGCTTTTTTTTTTTTTTTGCAACTGGTTCAGGGGAGTCGGTTTAGGCCTCCTCCACACCCTGAACCAGTCAGACCCCCGATACACCCACTGTAGGGGCGTATCTGAGGGGTCCCGGAACGATACATATCGGCCGATACGGGCTGATACGTGTCGATACTTTGAACTTTGATTCAAGGTTCTACTAACATAAACAAATTTGACTTCTTCCAACTTCTGCACCATAATATGTACATCTTCCAAAAGAAAATGATCTCTCCAGCTAAGAAACTTTATCCGACAAGATAACTTCCGGTTCCATATAAGCTGTTGGCCTCTGCAAAAGAGGCAACTTCTTTGTCTCCTCTGTTGATCAGGATGACAAGATGATTTGGGCCTACTCAAAATGGTGCTTACACCGTTAAATCTGGTTATCACCTGGCTTGGAAATTGGAGCAAGACCGAAGATCAGCACGACAACATCCCAGACGCCATTCTAATCAAACTATATGGAAGCTTTTTTGGAATCTGAATGTCCCAAACAAAGTTAAAAATTTTATTTTGGTCCCATTGCTCCAATACCATTGCAGTTAATTAACCAGAGGTTCGTTTAGAAGAACATCATCTTACAACACAATGCCTGAATTCAGTGTGATGGAGAAGTTGAAGATTGTTGCCACATTTTCCTCAAATACGCCTTCGTGCAGTCACTGGCTAGCCAGTCCATTGGTCTTCTGCTTAGGAGAAACATAGTACCAATTCATCTTTGAATGGGTGAAAGACTAGTGGTTCCAAGAAGACCGATATCCTCTGTATTAAATGTTAGTTGTTTTCTTGCAAGGTTGCTCCAGCTTTTGGATTGGTATCAAGCAAGTTTGATGGTCATGGGTTATTTTTGCTGTAGAGGTTTACAATGTTATGACCCTAGAAGTGAAGGGGTTGTTTATTCATCAGCTTTTTGGCTTCAAGCAAACAATTTACTTGGGGACAACTGGTCTAGTGGTGCTGGGTGAAGATAGGCACTATATGAGGTCTGGTTACTGGTAATCAATGTATCTAACAGTAACCATTTAGGCTGAGTTTTTTTTCAGTGTAAATACAGATCGGTGGGAAACTTAATTCCCGGTTTGTATTTATTGGTGTTTGGATGGAGTGTAATTTTATATTGAAAATCGATATAAACTTCACTTATAGTTAGGGCTATTCATAAGAAGGCCCAACCCGATCAAACCGATGGTTCAGGTCGGTTTCGATTTTCTTGTGTGAAAACCGAAACCGACCTGAATCGAACCGACTTAGCTAAAGAAGCATGTTATTGTATACTTTGTTTAGTTGTTCATAATCCTTTGTGTAGTGCATACAAGTTGATATAATGTTTGAAATTCATGATTTCAGTTTTCGTGGTGAAACTAATCTCTAATCCCAGATGCTTATCAATTTGTCTTCCTTTTGCCGTCTTCACTTCTAGCGAGAATAAATTCTCAAACTGACAATCCAAACTTGCACCACACAGGCACATGGGGGCATGGTTGAACTTAGAGCCGAAACCGACCCAACCCGACTCAAACCGATCAGGTCGGTTTTGCTTAACACTGGGTCGATTTCGGTTTCAAGTTAAGGTAACCCGACCAAGTTGGATCGGTTGGAAAAACTTCAGTAAACCGATCCAACCCGACCCGTGAACAGCCCTACTTACAGTAGAGTTTTACACCGATAATCGATGTAAATACAACATTGATAAAATCAATGCAAATATTTACATCAATAATCACACTTTTCAAAATTACAATGGTTCATTCATTTAAATCTGATTGCTGTTGAATTATGTACTTCACAAACAATGCAACTTGATAAACTACGTATCTGGTAAGTAAGCAAGGATTAAAGTATCAATACATGTGGGTGTATTATATGATACATATTTGTTTTTGCACCAATGTTGACACAGCCGCTGCATTTCTTGTGGCCTCCTAATAAAACACAGACATGGAAACTATCAAATATTGAAAATTCAGGTCATTGGAATGTTTTGAATTTAAGACAATCGCTGCTATTGTCTTATTAAGGCTCTGTTTAGTACCATTGTCACTTTTACCTATTTGCAACATTTGGGGTTGGTCAATGCAAATTTGTGAGACGAGGGATTTTTTTTTCTGTCACAAATACTTTGAATTGATCAATATAATGTTTAGTTTCTATTCTATGTGATAACATCAATCCATTACATTTTTTTAGTGAAAGTGGCTATCTTATATCGTGATGAGACAGTTTTTCAAAAATTTGTATTGAACCCCAAATATGTAAGGTAGAAATGGCAATGTTACCAAAGACAACCTAAGAGCTAATGACCGTGGCAGCAAATGTTTTCTTTACCAACCAAATGTCCTTGGGGTGTTTGTTATTGTCAATGCATATGGTTTTGTTACCTAAAACATAAGAAAAGAAACTACCACATCAGCATTGTTTTTTTCATGTCATTTTTGAAAAGTAAAATCATGCACATTGGTGAAATCCCCCTTAGCAAGCCACAAACGTACCTAAAGATGAGTTTAGGACACGCATACATCCTATCCATAACCAATGCGGCGTAATTGATATGTGAAATTATGTTTGTCATCATGGTTTTCAAAACCGGACCGGACGGGTTCCATTTTCACCAAAAACCGGATTTCCCCCCAAAATCAACGATTTTGGTCAATGAACCGTTAAATCGAGCAGTTAACCATTTAAACGGTTTTTATTTTTTTGAATTTTTTGAAATTTTTTATATTTTTTTCAGAACGGGTCTAGTGTTCGGTTCGAACGGTTGGACCGTTTGACCCGATAGCCGGACCCTGATCTGTTCGGTCACCGGGTTGGTTTTAAAAATTATGCTTGCCATTGATACCTAAAATTCCATGGCTTAATCTAACATTCGGTCCGATTATCGTGGATTCAAATTGTGTATTTATGTATAGATCGGATTTGGATTTTGCAATCTATATCCAAATAATAATTAGGGTCCGTTTGGTTCATGATCGGAATCGGAATGGGAATCCCTTGGAATCAGAATCGGAATGGTCTATTCCCCCTACCTATTAGGTTCAAACAGGAATCATAATCGGATTCCGATTGATGCTGTTTGGTTCATCAAGAGGTTGGAATCGGAATCAGCCATGATTTCCAATTTTGCCCCTAATAAAAATAAAAAAGCAGAAAATGCATTAAAATACCATAAAATGCAGAAATTGCAGAAAATTTGCAGGAAAATACAGGAATTACAATAATTTTACAACAAATTCAGAAAAATGCATGAAAATACTCAAAATTTGCAGAAATTGCAAAAAAATATAGAAATTTTGCAGGAAAAATGCAGAAGTTACAACAATTTTGCAGAAAATTCAGGAATGCATGAAAATACTAGAATTTTGCAAGAAATTGCAGAAAAATGCATGAAAATACCTGAAACTTTGGTGGAAAACAGGCTGCTGCTTCTGTGATCATAACATGGAAAATTTGGTGTCATTTCTTGAGAGGCATCAACACTAGCTAGTGCTTTCCAGTAACAGTGATGTAACTGCTATAGAGCTTATTTAAGTAAAGAGCATGTGCAGTCATGACAGCAACCCTACTATGATCATTTGGATGGAGTGAAACTTCGGGATTTTCAGCAATAAGTCTGCTAAAAAAGATGAGGTGACGAGAAATGAAGTTGCAACATGTTCCTGCTTATCTGTGCTGGAGTTCAGGGGTGTTATGAGACATGGCCTTTTCTGTATGGGAACATGGGTATAAGGGGATTATTGGATAGCCTCATCCTGACAGTGCTTATGTAATTGACGTTGAGTCCTTCATACAGCCTTTCACTGTAGTGGAAGCTCAATCTTAGGGTGTATCTCTTATTTGTTTCCTTTCAATATAATATTATCTCTTTCTATAAAAAATATAACTCTTAGGTCCTGATGAGGGGTGATTTAGCCCGACTTGATGAATAGAGGACACGTGGACATGATCTGCCAACTAGACGGCGACTCAGCATTGGGTGCCATGTAGATCGGGGGACCTTGGGTGCCTGACCATTTCGGGCAGTACCAGAGCCAGGGCACCTCGGTACCCATGTACGCCGAGGTGACACGTAACAGATTCTAGAAACTTGCCTACTGTCTCCAAGTCTTCCGGGGTTAAATCGCGAAACAATAGGCCTTATCTGCATCTCGCACGAATCGGATGGACATGATAAGCACTATCAGTTAGCACAATATCCACCTATCAGTGCGGAACAAACTTCTACTTGTTCAGCCTGAAGATCTCAGAAAGGTTTCGTGAGGCCCACGACAGCCCTGCTATATAATGGCATCAACCCCCAAGATTCAGGTACACGCGATAAAGTGCATTCTAGCTCTCTACTTTACTGATTTCCAACTCGCATCTACCTATTGAATACTAACTTAATAATTGGAGCGACCTCGCCGGGTTAGCCACCCTGGGTTCTTTGATCCCTCTTTCTTGTAGTTCAGGTGACCCGCTTGGCAATCGACGTCCGAGTTGCCTTACAGCTAGGAGCATCCAGATTGCACACAATCAATTGGCGCCGTTTGTGAGAACCGATTGATAAGTCTACTTTACATCTCATCTACTACCCTATTCTCTTCCAATGGCTTCTTCAAGCAACACCTATAAGGGTGTCGATATGGGCG